GTTCTTGAAATGATTAACGGCGAAATAATATACGATAGAAATTACATAACATCGGAGTTCTTGAAATTATTAACGGCGAAATAATATACGATATAAATTACACAACATCGGAGTTCTTGAAATTATTAACGGCGAAATAATATACGATAGAAATTACACTACATCGGAGTTCTTGAAATTATTAACGGCGAAATAATATACGATAGAAATTACACTACATCGGAGTTCTTGAAATTATTAACGGCGAAATAATATACGATAGACATTACACTACATCGGAGTTCTTGACAAATACTAACGGCGAAATAATATACGATAGAAATTACATAACATCGGAGTTCTTGAAATTATTAACGGCGAAATAATATACGATAGAATTACATAACATCGGAGTTCTTGAAATTATTAACGGCGAAATAATATACGATAGAAATTACACAACATCGGAGTTCTTTAAATTATTAACGGCGAAATAATATACGATAGAAATTACACATCTGAGTTCTTGAAATTATTAACGGCGAAATAATATACGATAGAAATTACACTACATCGGAGTTCTTGACAAATACTAACGGCGAAATAATATACGATAGAAATTACACTACATCGGAGTTCTTGAAATTATTAACGGCGAAATAATATACGATAGAAATTACAATAAACATCGGAGTTCTTGAAATTATTAACGGCGAAATAATATACGATAGAAATTACACTACATCGGAGTTCTTGACAAATACTAACGACGAAATAATATACGATAGAAATTACATAACATCGGAGTTCTTGAAATTATTAACGGCAAAATAATATACGATAGAAATTACACAACATCGGAGTTCTTGAAATTATTAACGGCGAAATAATATACGATAGAAATTACACAACATCGGAGTTCTTGAAGTTATTAACGGCGAAATAATATACGGTAGAAATTACACTACATCGGAGTTCTTGACAAATACTAACGGCGAAATAATATACGATAGAAATTACACAACATCGGAGTTCTTGAAGTTATTAACGGCGAAATAATATACGGTAGAAATTACACTACATCGGAGTTCTTGACAAATACTAACGGCGAAATAATATACGATAGAAATTACATAACATCGGAGTTCTTGAAATTATTAAATGGCGAAATAATATACGATAGAAATTACACAACATCGGAGTTCTTGGAATTATTAACGGCGAAATAATATACGATAGAAATTTCACTACATCAGAGTTCTTGAAATTATTAACGGCGAAATAATATACGATAGAAATTACATAACATCGGAGTTCTTGAAATTATTAACGGCGAAATAATATACGATAGAAATTACATAACATCGGAGTTCTTGAAATTTTTAACAGCGAAATAATATACGATAGAAATTACATAACATCGGAGTTCTTGAAATTATTTAAATGTCGGCACGTTCCGAGATCCCGTAACGTGAACGTACCAAGTGAGATTTATACACAGGAAATGATATGGACAATAGTTGTACAAATATAGATTGGGGGGGGGGGGAATCCATTCTTGGAGAACATGTTGACATATATACTTACTGATGGATTGAACTGCTGTTGTTCAAATGTCTGTT